TCAGTCTGGGGTGGGTTGGGCCAGGCAAGGTAAAGGCCACCATCTCCTCTACACCTCCATAGAGAATCTTTAATTCCCACACTGTTCCTTTCACTCTCCTTACCTGGTTACGGACTTCAGCCTTCAAATGAGCTTAGGCCTTCACTTGATTTAGGGTCCATGCCTTTATGGCTTTTAGGTCTTAAGAAGGAATGATTATCTCTGAACATCTTCTTCCAAGGCCATTATCTGTATGATTGAAGTGTTTTTCTGCTCATAATATGAATGAGATGATTCCCCCAAATAGCTTTTTTGTGGCTTTAGGAGAACAATACAGAGCATGGGACGCGTCTAAGACCAGTGGAAGACCAACAGATTCCTAATATTGTGGTGTGTGGTGTTTTACCTTAACCACCCATTCATTACCTTCCATTGTAGTGCCTCCTAAGTCTTGGCCAAGAAGCAAGGATGGCACCTATTCTTACCTGGTTCATCAAATATAACCATTCTCTCTACCATCTACCTGTTGCATGGTAGAATATATTGGATACTAACTTAGGCAGATAGATACAGCTCAACTCCATACCAGCTAACTGTAATGTACTTTGTCCAGGTCACATAAGGTGTTAACTGATTGCAATGCATATGTCTTAAAGAAGGACCTTAAGAAATTAGTCCTTTAAGCAAATAATTTTTACAGTTTTGTGGGATTTTATTTAATTATAAAATCTACCTGGGCATCATATTCCAAAAAATTTTTGGAAAATACAGAAAAGCACAAGGAAGTAATTAAAATCATTTATAATTCCACAATTCAAAGAAACCAACTATTAACATTTTGATGCATATTGTTCAAGTCCTTGTTGCAGGATGTATGTGTGGTAGCGCTACACATCCTCTTCTCTTTACCTAGTTTTTCTACGTAAGATGGTTTTTTATACTTTACTACCATTAGATAGCCTTCTAAACTGCAATGATTTAGCAGCCAATACCTCATTTTTGCACATTTAAAGTATTTCTGAATTTCTGTAAAAACAGCATGATGATAGAAATATTTACAGCAATGGGCTTCACACACTGTTGCATAAATTTTTAGAATAAATGTACATGGGGCAAAACAAATACACATTTTAAAAGCTTTTGATACATATTGCTAACCTCCCCCCACAAAGATTCTATCAATTTGCTCTCCTACCAGCATTTTTTCAGAGTTCCCAGAATCCTCGCCAATTTTTAAACATTATTATTATTATTATTATTATTATTATTATTATTTTAAATCCTGGCAACTTGGTGGGGGAAGAAAACCGCACTGCTTAAATTTGCACTTCCTTGTTTAGTAGTGAAGTCCTTCATGACTCACTTTTATATATTTACTGAAGAAGTTAATGTAGTGGTTAAGTAGGGCTGCTCTAGGGCCCAAGTGTTCACTTCCTGGCAACCGTGGGTAAGTTCCTTAATCTCCCTATGCTCGGGTACCAGCTCTGATAATGACAATACTTACTTCATGGAATCTGTGTGAAGATTAAAGAGGGTATCACATGACAAGTGCCTAGAAAGCACTTGGTATTACAGTAAGCACCTGATACATATCAGCTACTCCTATGTTCTCTAGCATTTAGATTTCTTCATATATGAGTTGCCTTTTCATTGTCTTTGTTTGGGCAAGTGGTTTTGTTTATTTTGTTTTGGCAGGAGGTTTTAGTATATTAAGTATGTTAACCCATTACATGCATATATTGCAATTTCCCCCAATTTGTGGTTTGCCTTTAAGTTTTGTTCAAAGTGAGGAAATTTGGGGGTATCAGGAGACTCAGGCTAGGGGATGGTGTAGTTTTGGTTCAGCCTGGGTCTTTTTTCTGCCTCTCAGTCCTGCCTCTAGAAGAGTCACTTCCTTATCATTGGGAAGGTCTGGTATTGATTCTTGTCACCAGATAGCAAAAATGGCATTTTAAGCAGGGTATTAAAAATCATCACCTTGGAATAAAACTTCTGCTTAATTTATGTAAATAATGATCATAGCAGATGAGAGGCCATGGTTAATATTTCACCATTTCCCATTTATCACTAAATCCAACTTGTCAGCATTCTTTGGTGAAATAAAATTAATTACTTCAACTTGAGAGAAGCTTTTAATTTGAGATCAAGATCCCTCATAGATTGAGTGTCCATTAAGTGCTACTACATTTTCCTTCTTTGCTGCAAATTATACAGTAGGAAGAGAATCTTTGTAGCCACAAAATCTTGTGCACAAGGGAACATGTTCATTATTTTGACATTTATACATGCTACTAAAAATGAACGTTTTTCACTTCCCTGGAAAAAATGTGGACACAGAGAACATTATTTTACCTTGCTATGTAGCAACGAATTAGAACCACCCTTATGAAAACATGGAAATTCTGCTTGAGCTGCCAACTTGTTTCAAAAAGTCATGAGATTGCAGATCTCATGCAGATATTGCATATATTGCAGGTAACACTTGGAGGTGTACACAGATGCACAATTCCCATATAAAAGTAGCATCCATGTTCATCTGTATGTATGTCTGTTCCAGATCCAGTTTATACTCCTCCCTGATTTGCTCAGTCTCAACTACCCTCTAGTTCTTTGCTGTCCGATCAGTGAAGAACCAAGAACCCAGCTGTTTGCTCTGTCACCTCATCCCCTAACACTGCCATCTGTCTCACCCTCCCCCAAGGACCAGACCTTGGCAAGGCCTCTGTAATGTGTGCTGTGATGGTAGCCACATCAGCTCCACTGTGTGGGGGTGACCCGATGCATCCACAGAGGCTTAGGTGCTGTCATGCCTGGTTTCACAGCAGCACCCAGTCATGGGCATAGGACTTGGTTTCCCCAGTGGCTGCCCTGAGGATGTGGATAACACAACCTGGAAGAGTAGAGGAATTTTAATGTCCACTGGCTGAATATTGACCAAGAAGAGACAGGAGACAGGAAGGAACCAATAAATAAATGACTCCCTCTTTCTCCTTTTCATGGACTGTTCCAAGTGCCACGACTCCATGTAGTGTTTCTGGAGACTTCTAGTTGACTAAGCAACTGGCTGTGTTGTTTTGTGAAGCTGTAGCCAGCTTGGTATTCGTCTCTGTTCTTTCCCACCTCACTTCCCTTCTCCCCCTCACCCTGGGGGCCCTGGGATTGTATCACGAGCAATATGTTGGCACATAAAATTTGCTTCAGACTGCTTTCTTGGGAACCTGGGGTAAGGCAGCATCTGAGAGCTTTCATATACATTTAAATGAATATTTTATATTTAGGTACTGTGTTTAGCATTCAGATGTGAATAAAATACCAGCATGTGCATAACAACAATAACAACAACAACAAAAGTACAAATATTGCTAATATGTGATGGTTAAATGGGGTAAATGAGAGTGTGCTTTATTACTGCTACTAGGGCTATGTATGGTTGAAATTTTCCACATAAAAAATTTTTCAAATAGTTTTGTTAAAGATGCTTACCACTAGGGACCTTGGGAAAAACTGAACATCTTTTGTTTCTGACATTTCATCTGGTTATGCTATGTGATTGCCGCCTAGAAGGGTGTCTTCTTTCTGCCCACCTCTCCTACTTATTTTAAAATCACATTAAACACTTTCTTATCCCTTTCACTTTTAATATCTTCCAACAAAATATATTTTCAGATGTCACTCCCCCCAAACAGGCACTCAAACTGAAGTCTGTATCAGTGATAATGAACAGAAGAGCAAGGAAATTTCAATGTCCAAATTATATACTTCCTCATTAGATTTTTGTCTTTATTTTGTTGTTTTACTTCAAGCATGTTTTACTTTTAAAACATTTTTAAGAGAACACGTTTTAAACCATGATTTATATGGTAACTGTTTTGAGAACTGATAGGTTGCTTAGGACCAGGCATGCTCAGCAGTTGCTGAAATAGACAAAAAACAGCACTTAGAGCTGGCCCTACAGCCCTGGAAGTACATTGATTGTCCTTATTTAAAAATCTCTATCCTTCCAAATATTTTTTTCTTTTTCCTTTTTCTGTGCCTGTTTTGATTTGCAACTATTGGAAAACATAAAGCAAGAAAAAGTGATTGGTTCCTAATGCAATATGAAATTTTATTTTATTTTTTTAAATTTTATTTTATTATGTTACGTTAATCACCATACATTACATCTTTAGTTTTTGATGTAGTGATCCACGATTCATTGTCTTCGTATAACACCCAGTGCTCTATGTAGTGCGTGCCCTCCTTAGTACCCATCACCGGGCTAACCCATCCCCCCCAACCCCCTTCCCTCTAAAACCCTCAGTTTGTCTCTCAGAGTCCACAGTCTCTCAGGGTTCATCTCTCCCTCTGATTCCCCCCCCTCATTTTTCCCTTCCTTCTCCTAATGTCCTCCATACTATTCCTTATGTTCCAATAAGTGAAACCATATGATAATTGACTTTCTCTGCTTGACTTACTTCACTTAGCATAATCTCCTCCAGTCCCATCCATGTTGATGTAAAAGTTGGGTATTCATCCTTTCTGATGGCTGAGTAATATATTCCATTGTATATAAGGACCCCATCTTCTTTATCCATTCATCTGTTGAAGGGCATCTCGGCTCTTTCCACAGTTTGGCTGTTGCGGACATTGCTGCTATGAACACTGGGGCGCATATGGCCCTTCTTTTCACTACATTTGTGTCTTTGGGGTAAATACCCAGGAGTGCAATTGCTGGGACATAGGGTAGTTCTATTTTTAACTTTTTGAGGCAAACTGAAATTTTAAATTGCTGATTGAGTTCCGAGCTGCAGAGGCCTTATGGGCTATGAAGTAGGGCTGTGTTCACGGCTCTCGGTCACGTTAGTCCTTTCCTTGTGAGCCAAATGTCCTAGAATATTTGGCTCCTTTAGTGTATTTGTTGCCTACACCCGGGAATAAAGAATTGGGAGCGCTGTGCAGAAGTTTCTTGATTTTGGGCGTCAGTGTTCTCAATGCAAGTATTTGACTCGCTGCAGGAGTTTAACCCCAGTCTGTACTTGCAGGCAAGATGAAGGACCGGCTAGCCGAACTTGTGGAGTTAACCAAGAACTATGACCAGCAGTTCCCAGACGGGGCCGATGACTTGGACTCGCCCCACGAGGACATAGTGTTCGAGACGGACCACATCCTGGAGTCCTTGTACCGAGACATCCAGGACCTTCAGAATGAAAACCAGCAGCTGATGACCGACGTGAAGCGGCTGGGAAAGCAGAACGCCCGCTTCCTCACGTCCATGCGGCGCCTCAGCAGCATCAAGCGCGACACCAACTCGATTGCCAAGGACATCAAGGCCCGGGGAGAGAACATCCACCGCAAGCTGCGCGCCATGAAGGCGCTGAGCGAGGAGGCGGAGGCCCGGCACGGCCCCAACTCGGCGGTGGCGCGCATCTGGCAGGCGCAGTACAGCGCGCTGACCCGCACCTTCCAGAGCGCCATGCACCAGTACAACCAGGCCGAGATGAAGCAGCGCCACAACTGCAAGATCCGCATCCAGCGCCAGCTGGAGATCATGGGCAAGGACGTGTCGGGCGAGCAGATCGAGGACATGTTCGAGCAGGGCAAGTGGGACGTGTTCTCTGAGAACTTGCTAGCCGACGTGAAGGGCGCGCGGGCGGCCCTCAACGAGATCGAGAGCCGCCACCGCGAGCTGCTGCGGCTGGAGAGCCGCATCCGCGACGTGCACGAGCTCTTCCTGCAGATGGCGGTGCTGCTGGAGGAGCAGGCCGACCCGCTGAACGTCATCGAGCTCAATGTGAAGAGGACCCTCGACTACACCGGCCAGGCCAAGGCGCAGGTGCGCAAGGCGGTGCAGTACAAGAAGAAACCCTGCCGGACCCTCTGCGGCTGCTGCTGCCCCTGCCTCAACTAGCAGGTCGTCCCCGGCCGCGAAACACCCCGGGGAAGATCTGGGGGGCCGCGGCACAGGGGTGAGTTTCCCCAAGTCCTAGGGGCTTCTTAGAGAAAGAAGAATTTTCAGGTGCGAGAATTCCCACCCCGCTTGTGTTTGGGAAGGGGGTCTCATGCCAACCCGTGCTTCTCCGGTAAGGACAGATAGCCAGGGCGGTTGTGGGAGGGCATTATATGGCACGTGGCACCCTTTCCCTCTTAACCGAAGCCCAACAAAGAACTGACGTTGTAGCTGACTGTGCGGTAAATGTCCAGGGCATGCTTCCTAACGAATCTTTAGGCGGAAGTCGGTTCTGCACTGGCTGATAGTATGAACTCATTATCAAAACTTAAATTCCTTTACCTTATCCTGAAAGCCCCTTGGTTCTGCTCAATTTCACATGACATGGATCTTGAGAAAAACTGTACATCTTTCATCTCTGAGTCTTATCTGCCTTATCCGGTGTGATCCCTGCCTAGAAGTACACCTTCTTTCTGCCCACTTCCCCTACTTATTAAAATCACGCTTAACACTCATTATTTCCTCATCTCTTTCGCTTTTAGTACCTGCCATCAGAATATCTGTTGGATTTTTTCCAAATATTTTTAAGCACTGAGTTTTGAACACGTACTCAAATTGAAGTATGTTATCAGTCATATTTTATATATTTTTCATAAATAATTTAAAATTTATCTTTTTACTTGGTAATATAAATGCACATAAATACGTAAATATAAATACTAATATTAAGACATGTACATGATGACCAATTGGTTTAACTTGACTTTTGTAAATATGGTCTATAAATATCAAGAGCAACACTCTTACTGGTCACTGGTGTTGGTTTGCTTGTTTTGAGTTTATCTCACTCCCATGTCCATAGTCACAATTCTGTTTTGAACCACTCTGTGTCGGTTGTGGTGGTAGAGACAGATGTCAAAGGCGAAAATCCATACAGAACTGGAGATAATAAAATAACATTCTTGGAAATACTACTTTTGTTTTACTGTGGACCATTCTTTTCATGTACTGAAATGGAGTAATTTAAAATAAAATTTAGCTTAATAAACATTACACTATAACATCCCCTTTGTGTATTTTTATCTTGGCCATTTAAATCTTAGTTTGCTTTTTCAATTATTATTCTTAAAAATTCTTCTACTAGCTGCATGAGGCTGCAACATCGGGATGGAACTCTTGACTAGAAGGAGAAAGGATGAAAAAGAATTCCCTTGTGGGTGTCCTGCTTTCTCTCCTGAGTTACTTATAATAGTTTAGCAAATCATGTTTTAGAGATTTGGTTTTGTTTGCAAACTTTGTAATGCCCTCATCCACGTTTACCATACTTCCTGTCTTTCTTCTGAGTCAACTCTTTTTTTACTCGTTATTACTAAATGAACACGTTTACTCAGCAGTCAAAATTCTCAGGTCTTTCAGACAGATTTTAAAAAGGAGTAGAATGAAGAGCATGTGAACTCTTTGGAATTCACCAACGAACCTCCTTATGCCCATGAAAAAATCCAGCCCTGTACCTAATTTTAATTTCATGGTTAAATATGAGAATTCTGGAAACCAAGTTCCACTGGGCTCCTCTCAGATTTCTCCCGATTTCTTTCTCAGTTAACCCCACCGATAATGTTTCACTTTTAACCGAATTACCTTTCCCTAAAAACAAAACAAAACAAAAACAAACAAAAAATGTCTTCACATAGCTCCATTGCTATGTCTTCCATTGTAGAGAAGTGAAACTGTGAATATAGACCACCAGCTAGTTTCCCTGAGAGAGAATGGTTCATGAATTCGACTTCTTTTAAACCCATAAATCATTTTCTTTGCCTAGAACCAGCCATAAAAGTAAATGAGTTTGCAGGCTCTGTGTATTTCTTTAATTCCCCACATTTCACATTAGAGAATTAAGTAAAAACTGCACTTTCATTTACTAAGTGATTAGTGAACTGTTGCCTATGACAAGGTAAGAATTTTTCTTCCTGCTTTTTAGTAACTTTCTGAGTGTTCACATAGTAGTTAAGAGCACTGATTCATGACCTCACTCTCTTGGTTTAAATCCTAACTCTGCCCCATACTAAACATATGATTTGGGCACATTACTTAACCTGTTTGTGCCTCAGTTTCCTTATCTGTAAAATGGACATAATAAGGCCTACTTCATTGAGCTGTTGTAAGAAGTAAAAGCTATCTATGTTCATTATTGTTATTATATAGCTTTCTGGTAGACTGAGAAAGCTGTTACTAATTTAGTAAATTAATAGTTACTAACTTCCGAGGAAAAAGAAATGTTTATTTTTCTGTTGATAGTCTTTAATAAAATGGAATAAAGAAACCAAGACCTATCTTCTTTGAATATTAGGGCTTTTTTTTTCCTACCACACACACACCAAAAAAACCCATTTTTACAGTGGCATTTCTATTCCTAATTATATCCAAACATGTTCTGGAAGAGTATTAGATTTTCCGCTCAGAATGAACAGTTAAGCAGGAAGCAGGTGTTCTGTTCAATTTGGCAAGTATATTCCCCTGATCTTCCCAAGCTTTGAGTCAGAAAATCCCAGAAAGTGTTCAGTTGTGGAGTCCAGGTCACAACAGACTAAAGAGAACAGTTGGCTTTTCCCACATCCTGCCCTGTTTCCCTGAAGCCCTTCCTGGCTCTGAGTGCCGGGCCAAACAATGTGTGAGATGCTGGCGTTTTCCTCTGGAAAGGCTACTCCGGTGCCCCCAAGAGGTGTGACAGAGGTTGGTTTTACCCAACCCCACGATGCTCTCTTGGCAAACTCTGAAAGTTGACCTTGGGCAAGAAGAGGAAAACTTTGTGGCAAAGCTACTAATTTCATACACTAACATTTAATGTACAAAATGAAAGACCCAATCACAAAGAACAATAGATCCTTCAGGGGCAGAAGGTGGAAATCTATTCCTAAAGCTATTTTCATATATGCAGTGACTCCTTCTAACTAGCCAAACACCAAACCTTACAGTCACAGCCACAGATTATAGGCGGTGACTCCAGAAAGATCAGAAATAAGAGAGATGCTCACCAACAACGCGTCAGTATCCAGGACAACATGAGTTCAAATTTTTTAAAAGCAGATCAATGATTCAAAAGGGTTTGAACTGTGACATCATGGGAGTGAGTTTATGGCCTTTCAAGATAATGACTTTGAAAGAAAACAGCGTTCTTCTTGTGCTTCCTATTGATTTAAAAATAGTCCCAATGCTTTATAGTTGAATGTCATATGCACGTATTTTTCAGGCTCTACAATGTAAAATTCCTATCTTGACAGGAACCTGTGGAAGATTGTGTACAGCTTAAAAACAATAAAATAGGGTAACTGTCATCTTGGATGTTATGTATAAATCCCACCATTCTATCTTCCATCATCAGACAAGTTTCCACTCCTCTCTTCGAAATATGCACGGTATTTCTAATGCAGCATGCAGTTCACTCATTTGTAATCTGGACAATAGCTTGAAACATCCATTGCCATCAAAGTAACAGTTGAGATGACTTGCTTTTGATAGCAAGAATTGAAAATCCTTGCAGTTAATAAAATGGGGCTATTAGAAGCAGAAAATGAATAGGATCTAGAATGCAACCTCACCACCATATAAATATTGGGCATCTTTATTACCATGTGCTATAAAGGAAAGATGAGATGGCCTTATACACTGGAAACTTCTGTTGTGAAGATTATGTATATATTGGTAAGAAAGAAGGCTTTCTGACCTGAAGGTCTAGGTGAGACTACATAGGATGCTTTTAAACCAGTGATATCCTAAAAACTGAGGAGTGAGAACTCCCCAACGCTATCATTTTCTAATTCTTTTTTTTTTTTTTTTTAAGTAGGCTCCATGCTGGGTGTGGATGCAGGGCTTGAACTCGACCATGAGATCGAGACCTGAGCCGAGATCAAAAGTCAGACACTTAACCGACTGAGCCACCCAGGTGCCCCTCTAATTCTTGATATTTAGTTTGAAAGTATTTTTATACCCCTTTTTAATTGTAAGCATCTTTAAGCTACTCTTGAACCTCTCCCATTTTTTCCTGATCTGTATCTCTGCATTTGCAAGGTATTATAGGCAATTCTCTGGACATACCCTTCTCTCTGTATCCAGGTATCCCATAATATTCTGTAGTGGATACAAATAACAGAGCATGAAAATTTTATATATATGTATATATCTATATCTATCTATCTCCTTATCTCTCTGTTTTCAGGTGGGCCCAGCTATGTGCACGTGCTTAGGTTTGCTATCCCAAACAGAAAAGCCCTCAGAGCCATTTAACAGGAGCATACATGTAATGCATGTGTTTCTAAATTTCTGTGTCAGGATCTTTGCCCTGCCCCATCAGTGTGCTCTCCAGTTATGTGCCCCCTTTCCCTGATACCTCCTGCACATCCTGTGTTCACACTTGGGGATTGCTCTGAGCCACCATAAATCTATTATGGAACAAGGTAGGGAAAGAAGAAGGGAATGAGGAAATACCCACATCTATCACAACTCACTGGCTGAGGCTGAGTAGTACTTGTTTTCTAAGTGTTCTTGGAGACAGGTGGTGCCTCAGAGCTGCTCTACACTCATCCCCCTGTTTCCTTGTTTTGTTTACTGTGGATTTGACACCTTGCCTAACTCTTCACTAGTCACGTATTCCTGATGGTCTAGTTTCTGTTCAGCGGCTTGCCCTGACTCTGCAACCTGACTGCTATCCGTCTGCAAGTCTTCCTGGCTGGTTTTTGTCCCCCTGACCTTCCTCTTACGTACACTGCTGGCGCTACCCTGAATCTGACCCCACTTCGCTCAAAAGTCATCCCATCCCACAACAGATAGACGTAATAATACCCATTGGTAGAACACCTTTCAGTTTACAGGGTGCTTTGATCTCAATTTTTTTTCATGATAATCCTGTGAAGTAATATTACCATGTCATTTTTTCAAGGAGGGGGGAACTGAGAATGCAGTCCTCTAATACTTGGCAAAATTATGTATTTGTGAGTGTCTATTTCTTACGCTCATATTACTAAGCTGCTCTCTGCATGTTCACGTCAACATCAATCTAGAAGCATAAACTGCATGACGAGAATACGCATTTTCCTTGACTGATCTCTATAACATTAGTAAAACCAGCTCTTCCCTTGGCCTTCTGGCTCTGCATTTCTTTCTCCTACCTTTGGCTCCCCGTTCTTAGTCTCCTTTACAGGTGACTCCTTCCCAGCCTTCACTGCGGAGCCTGCATCCATGGCCAACTTCCCTGAGCTATTTCTTTCACTCTGAGGGTTTCAAATACCACCTTTCTAAGCACTAGTCGTTTCCAGATCTGTACCTCCAGCCCTGACTTTCCAGCTGAGACCTGAGTCTGTACGTCCAACCACCTAGCAAACATTTACAATTAGACATCCCACCGGAGCTGCTGCTGCTTTTTTTTTTTTTAAGATTTTATTTATTTATTTGACAGAGAGAGACACAGGGAGAGAGGGAACACAAGCAGGGGGAGTGGGAGAGGGAGAAACAGGCTTCCCACGGAGCAGGGGGCCCGATGCGATGTGGGGCTCGATCCCAGGACCCCGGGATCATGACCTGAGCCGAAGACAGTGACCCAACGACTAAGCCCCCCAGGCCTCCCACCGGAGTTTCTAATGCTGATGCTGCGTCCGGACCCTGCCATCTCCCCCACTCCCCAGCTCCTCCTGTTCTTCATATCCTGCAGGCTTCATCAATCACTTTCTACGCCACTGAGCAGACCAGTGCCCCTGCTGCAGGCCCCTCTCTCCCACTTTGCCTCCCCGGAAATTCACGCACTTCTCTTCACACACAGCCCTTTGCCCAGGTCAGACAGTTGTCTCCTCCTGCCTCGGTCACTTCAGCAGCTTCTAACTGGTCTCTGGCTTCTCGTCTTGCCTTTTTAATTCAATCTCCATATTACAGCCATAGTACTTTTTCTTTGTTTTCTTTTTTTTTGGTTATTACTCTACTATGTTGGAATTTTTTTAATTGTGGTAAAGTGTATATATAACCTAAAATTTACCATTTTAGCCATTTTAAAGTATACGGTTCAGTGGTGCAAAGTAC